TAATTGAAAATTACAACTCAATTATTGCTGGAAAGAAGACTGTTGATTATCTGTGGAATTGAAGGAGGTTGATCTTGAGCTGGTTGGTCATTTGTTTTTATACAATCTTTTGCTTTATTTTGTTTTGCGAGTTCTTGATAACGTTCTTTATCTTCTTCAGGGAGTTGTTTCCACATAGAAGATAAAGTAGACATTCCTTTTCCTCTACTACCTTTTTCTCTAACATTCTCACGATGATCTCTACAAAATAATAAAAATGGGTTATATTCTGCTCTGTTTTGAGCATATTCACTTTTTCCTTGTCTTCTTTTTTTTCCCATAGCATTTCCTAACATAATATCTTGAACAACTGCAGCCCTCCTAAATGTTTCTCTTACTTCTTCAGTTTCATCAGCCCACATTCGTTCTGCTTTTTCGTTTGCTTCATCAACATCAAATTCTTTAGTTTTAACCATTTCTTTTGCTCTCCAATAAATATAAACTGCATGACTTAATTCTTCAATATCTTCAGTATACATTGCAGATTTACGTTTACGTTCTTTTATGTCTTGATCCATAGTTTGTACAGGCATAGTATTCATTGGTTCTTGTTCATAGACACCACTAGGAAAAAAATCATTAGCATAATTCATCACAAATAGTTTGTTTATAATAAAAACCTAGTTCCTTGATTCTGCTGTATTCTTCTGCTTTTTTCTCTTTTTGATTTTACATCTTTTTATTTTTTTTATTATAGTTTTATTATTTTTTTATTATTTTTTTACTATTTCTTTTGATTAAAGTTCTTATAGTTCTTTTATAGTTTAGGGTTAGTATTTTTCTCTTTTTGCTAAAATATTAAAATATAATAAAATTAATAATAAAAAAACTAAAAATTTATAATAAATAAAAATAGAAATAAATAACAAAAATGAAACAACAAGAAGATTGAAAACAAAAAACTTACTCACTCATTTAGAGATAGTATAACCATTTTTAATTGGTAGTAGTTTCTTCTTTCTTCTCAACTCTTTGATAAGCTGGAGCAACAGTAATTTTTCTACCTTCGATTTCAAAATTATTCATTTCTTCAATAGCTTTCTTTTGTCCTTCAGTAGTTTTAAAGACAACAAAACCATATCCTTTACTTCTGTCAGTGTTTAATTTTTTGCTATGTCTCTTTACAATAGTAGCTTCATTAACTTCATACTTTTCAAAAAGTTTTTTGAAACTTTCATCAGTTAAGTCAAATGGTAAATTCTTAACGAAAATATTAGTTTCAGAAAGTTGTTTTGGTTCATTTGTTTTCTTAGCAACTTGTTTTTTTTCAATTCTCTTATAAGCAGCAGCAACAATAATTTTTCTTCCTTCAATTTCAAAGTTATTCATTTCAGCAATTGCTTTCTTTTGTTCTTCTGAAGTTTTAACAGTAACAAATCCAAAACCTTTACTAAGATTAACATTTTGTTTCTTTTTATGAGTCTTAACAATTGTAGCCTCAACAACTTCAAATTTAGAAAAGATTTCTTTAAGTTTTTCTTCAGTAATACTAAATGGTAAATTCTTAATGAATAACATATTATTAGTTACTTCTTT